GTTCCTGTTTGAACTTCTTTTTCATATAAAGGGAAAGCATAAATACCAAAGCTGATAAATCTTATTTTGAGAACCTTGATACTGCAATTTCTAGTTTCTTCCTGTTAACTCGAAGATAAATGCAGACCTAAGAATAATGAACTTAATTGGACTTTCAAACAAACAATGGCAAAGAAATCTACTTGGATACATTGATCTAACTAGCAAAGTATTTAGAAATATTTAGAATTGAAATAAACTGATCAATACATTTACGAGGAAGGGTACTAATGGTTTTCAACTCATCAGTAAAGCTAATCTTATGAATATAAATTAGTTTTGATATGCGCATAAAAAATTCACATGATTGGCATGAATCTCAAAGAAATATTTGAATTGAAAAACTTCTAAAATTAAATTCAAGATCTTCTGAACTCCGATTTCAGCAATCGTATAGTCAACTCAACGTCTCGACGAGACGAACCTATTGATGCTACAATTGGTTAAATCATACTACAAATGAGCTCTAATCAAGCACTTGAATTTATTTGAAATTTTCTAAACATAAATTGATAAGCCAAAAGGCTTCTAATTATAGCATGCTTATAGTCAGATCAAGTGACCCAATGAGACAAATATAACAAGCCCAAGATCACTCAGATTCTGACATCATAAAGGCATTCAAATGTTTAATAAATGATCAATGATCAAGGGGATCAATATAGACTGTACGATGGAGTGTTTTGGACTCTGGCCAATTTTACCAAAATGCATATTCTAAAAAGGCTATAAAAAGAGCCTCATTCTATAGAGAAGCGGGAGATTTAAGAGCTAAGAGAACTAAAGAGCTCACTTACATTTCCCTGCTATCACCGCCAAAACCACCACCAATAACTGAACAACTTTTCTATTTTAACCAATAAATCTAAGCTCTATTAGTTATATCACAATCTATATACTCATTTTTCTACATAATAAATACAAGATGCTTATAAGTATCACATCTAAATATTACTTCAACTTCCAGTAATAAGGGTTAATCATTATTAATATCACACTCACTAAAATTATGTGCCCTATATGTAATTATTGTTTTATTAGTCCTATGTCATTTATCATCTAAACAAATTATCCATTAGTCTAACCCTTCATATATTCCCACTTGTGTTTTAAAAGCGTTTGGAGACCACCTCAAAACTTGCTCCCAGTGATATGCTCAATCGTTGATTCTCCCCCAATGGCTCTATCACTTGATTATTCGCCCTCATAGACTTTGCTCTCTCAAAGTCATCGCTAGCTCATTGGAATAAATTCACTAAACTAACTTGCCAGAATGCGACTCTCATCTTTTCCACAAGCACATTCGCCAGAACCTCAGTTGGTCTGACTTGTTTCCTTCATTAAAAAAACTAAAGATCTTGACTCTTTATCGATGTCTCTCAATGAATCTCTGATAAATGTCATAAAGTGTAAATTTATAAAGCTTTTCATATTTTTTCGATATTTATATTTCATATGGAATGAACTTTTGAGCTTTTAAGATCTGGGAATTTTTATGTAAGTTTGTTTTTATTTTGAGATGTTGGAATAATATACTTCCATTTAACCCTCTCAACCAGAAACTTGGCTATCAAATTTCTAACTAATGTTTATGTTCATGCTATAGATTTTGTGTTTAGAATATTAATAAAATGATTATGGACTTTAAATTTGGAATATATTTTAATTATTATCTTATGGTTAATTTCAGTTATACCATTTCCCTACAAATATTTAAAATATAAACTTCACAATGCTTACACCCCACTTCATGATACGTAAAATATCAATTTCTTCTAAAACATTGACTTCAACAAAAATATCATTGACAATAGTTCTCACTTAGTCACTTTAATACTCCTTTGTAAATTTATTCATGATCAATATAAAAATAAACAAACTTAAACTTGTTTCTTTAAGTAATCATAACCACAATTAGGAACTCTTGGGTCACTCCATAACTTCTTCAAATAACAATTAATGCTCCATCATGCATAGCTTTAAGAATTTCAACACCCATTTTGTTCTGATATACATCAAACCAACTTTTTTAGTTATCAATCACATGCCTTCTCAATATAAATGAAAGTCATCCTTTCTTTGTAAAACTATTACATTAATTGCCTTGTCTTGGCACAAAAAAAAAAACTTCCTAATCTACCGTTTTGTCATAAAACTAAATTGATTCTCAAATACCAATATAATTTTTTCTAAATTCAAGTTTCACTACTCCTTCACAAAACATCAATACATGACTCATGAGTTTGATTCCATTATAATTTACACAATCTTAAAAATCTCTCTGATTCTTAAAGAAGCATAAGATTTGGTGTATTTAGCATGCATGTGAAGTAAATCCCTGCAAAGTAAATGCAGCCAATTTGATTGCATTTACTTCGTTACAAATTTGTTAAGGAAAATAGAATATGAAAGTAACCTTAAACCAAACACCAAAGAATATTACTTTTCATGTAAACAATTTACTGTACACCATTTTTTATCCAACCAAACAACTCTTAAATAATTGTACACCTTTTTTATATCCAACCAAACAACTCTTAAATAATTGTACCAAAACACTTCTTCTTAAGACATTTAACATCCTCCTAGTCTTCAAATTTTCAACAAAAAGATTTTTTAACCCTCTACTAACACATCACCCTTAACAATCCAATTCTCAATAGGTACCTCATGTGATCCGAAGTTTTACTTTTGGTCCTCTTCTTTAAAGTTAAATTCATTTCATCTTTTAGAACAAACTATAATAGGCTAAATTGTTAAATCCATTTTGCTCTTCTAAAAATTATCCCTTTAATTCCTCTTAATAATTTTTTTTAAAATAACATTTTCATCCTTCATTGATATATTCATCTTTCACTAACAAATGCTTTTTTTCTATTTTAAAGAATCTAGCTTAATCTCCAAATATTTTTATAATTTGTATTACCTATTTCCTGCATTTCGTTTTCTCCTTTCTTAGACCCAACTTATCATATAAATCATAAAAAATTATAATTTTTGTTTTGCTTCAATGCACTTTGCAAGATATCTAGCTTTCTTGAAATCATTATATGGCTCAATAGCAGTATTTTTAATTAGTCTTTAGAGGAAAATTTACTTGGAAACTTTTTAAGTTTCTTCACTCCATAATTAAGTCTTCATACTTATGCACAATATATTTCTGAACTCACCTAAAACTTCAATGACAATCCTAACTTGCTTAGAAAAAACTAACCATCATATCACATATCATATCTAGCTCAACAAAGGGTTCTAATTTGTCTATCTTCTCAAGCTATCTTGAAGATTAACAATGTTTTTCCTTGCAAAACTTCAACATTTATCAAAAGACAACTATTTATCTCCATTATTTTCTTTAAACTCCTAAGAAATATATTCATAATTATTAATGTGGGACTTGTTTTGGGTTGAAACGATGGGATTTGTATTATTTACAAAAAATATCTAAAAAAATGTTGTGGCATAACCTCAGGACATCTATTGAGAGCATTCCACCTTGATTAAGTTCAAGATGTGTTTCTTGAGCTAGTATTTGCGAGTATTGTAGAAGGTTACTATAGCAAGTTACTATCGCAAGATTTTCGCACATGAGGGCAAGTAACTATGTTGGTTTTTAAGTGTTGGAGTCAACTGATTTGAACGTTTCAAATTAAATTAATAATGGACCAATTAATTTGGGGGATTTTAAAATTAATAATCTAACTTTAAATTAATATTGATAATTTGTCAATCTTCTCTACTGACATAGGCTATAAGGAGTCTTAAACAGTAGTCTAATGCATGCAAATCATAACTTTTTACTTGAGTAAAAGTTCTATTTATAATTTCAATCTTGTGCGTGCAAGTTGAATGTGCAATTCCTTCAAATGTGATTTACATGTGACTATCTAATTTTAGGGGAAGTCATCTCCTAATACTGACGTATAGCCTAGTTTTATTTACATTAATAATATCATTCTTAATCAATTTCTTCTGCATAGTTTTTTATTGATATGTTTTGATCTGAATTTTGATCAAGTAGTGACAAGTCAAATCTAATTTTGCTGCTTGCTCGCTTATTTATTTGTTTACAAATCTTGCTAAAATTCTTGGATATTTATGATTAGTTCATTATCAATCGGGCTTAAACTATACTATCTCTTTTTCATGGAAAGGAAGCAAGTTGTTAATATAACTGGCAAATTGTGATAGATAAATCCTCTAATTTCTTTTTGCATGAAAAGATACTATTCATTGCATTAGGAAATGTAGCCCCCTGAGTTCTACTTGTTTGATCAAACTTTCTCCTAAAATTACCTTACAATTATTGAAAACAAAATTTCCTTCCTTCTAATAACAAAAGGTGTCTCCTATGGAGGTTCATCATCATTGTAGCACTAAAGAGGAGAAATTTATCCTATGTGATATGATGGGTTAGTTGGGACTTAGGAACCTAATCTCCTCATTTTTTTGAAAGAGAACATAGACCTAACCTACCTTATCAGTGAAATTAGTCAAGTCAAACATATTTTGCCAGTTCGACATTTACATTTAGAAGCAGTATAAGTAATCCAGGAGGGAAAATCAATATAACCTTGCTATAAGTAAGGCCTTCGAGTTTACTATTGAATGCTGTTTCCTGGAATCATCATCATATCAAAGGAAGGCACAATTCACAAAATGGATTTTTTTTTTGCATTTCACTTAAGGGTTGTCTTTTTCGATATATCTACCAAATATTGTGCGTTTGATTTCACGTTCAGATAGCTTCTCGTTTATGTAGTGTCCACTTTAACAAACATCTAAATATAAATAAAAAAACCAAAACATATTAATTTTTAAAAAAAAAAACAACTAATAACATAACATTATAGCACTAGACAAGGGAGATCCCAAAAAAATAATAATAATCACTCAAAATCACGGTTCAAATGCATGCTTCCAACAAGATCAGGTAACAGAAACATGAGTTGCAGAAATACCATGCTTCCCCTTACGCCTACTTCCTTCTACTCGACTGGTGTTATCCCATAGGTGTGCTTCGTACTTCCCACTCCATTTCAACCTGAAGCATTATGGCCAGAAAACAGAAGTTACCTCCATCTCCCATGACCGTCGCCTCAATATAAGACAAACGTATAATAAACTCACCTGGTCACTCCATGGTAGCATGAAGACTTAGGCACAGCATATTTCCTCATAGCCACAGCAAGAACACTACCTACCCTCTTCTCTCCACAGTTGGCGGGCACTATTGGCAAAATCTCCATTGAGCCATTACCAGCAACTTCTGAAGTAGCATTCCGTGGGCCAGAACTCTCAGAAATGCTGACTTCTTGATGCCATCCTAACGAACCCTCCAATCCTTCCTTTCCCGCAACTTCAGATAAAGAAACTTCCTGCGCAGCATCGGCTATCATTTCAGCGGCCCTCGGCAAAGGAGTATCTTTTCTGGATTTCCGCGGAAAATTCACTCTTTGTTCGGTCGCACTCAGCGAGGGCCCATTTCCATGAGCCTGCGGGGACTGAGCATCACTTCCAACACTCACAGCCTCTAAAAAACCATAATTCTCCCCAGCGGCCGGGCCCGAAGTAGCACTCTGTGGCGGATAGGTTTCCTGCGCGCCAAAGTTCATTACTTCCAAACCCTCGCCTTGGTTATCCGAGGACCGCAGAATCGGCATCTGATTTTTGTAAGTATATCCAACTTCCGGCGCATCCGGCCAATTTCTCGATTCGCTCATTGAAAATGGCTTAAATCGAACGATCAAAGGACAGAATCCAAAACCCTAAGCAGGACCAAAGAAGATGAAATTATACCTATTCCACCACGCTCCGCCGTGGACATTCGAAGATATTGCATCAAAATCGGATGGCAATCACAGTTGAGGGAAGATGAGAAGTGGAGCTATATTACGAGTTGTGGGAAAGGTGTCCAAACAGTAGAGGGGATTCGGTGAAGGGTAACGCCGATAAGAACAGTGGATCCAGATTATAACTCAATTTGACTTGAGAACAATTTTAATTTATTCATTTATTAAAAGCTGATTTGGTAAATGAGAATTGCTAAGAATCTCGAAGAACGGTACCTAGGAGTTTGCCGAAATGAATTAATTACGACACTCGGAACAGAATTCGGAGGGATTCGGCTAAATGCACAGAAGAACGACACCAAAGCGTCTGCCAATAGTTTTTGAGTTAATATTTCTTAAAAAAAAAAAAAAAAAAGGGCATATATGCCCTAAAATTTTGATATATTTTTATGGGAACATCTGACATTATATGCCCTATAATGTCCCTAATAGAAAAAAAAAATGCATGTTCTTTAACTTTTTTTTGGCAAATATGATCTAAAGTTTTATTCAGATCAAAATACCTCAAAATTTGAAGAGATAATCATTATATATGTCTTTTTTTTTTGGGGAGTCATTATATAAGTCATCTCTTATGAAAGAAGTTGTTTAGTTATTATAATTCTTAATCCATTCTTCTGTCTCTAGTGATTATCATTTATGAGTAATGGTTATGTGGCAAAGTTCTAAGGTAATATTTACTTTTTCATATCGAACTAACTACTAATAGTAGTATTATATATCTGACAAAGTTACCATATAACATCTCTAGATCAGTGCACCATTCCACCTGTTCTGATCCGATCTAATTCAAGGTATTTTGCTATATTTCTCTATTGAATCATTCTACATGTGTCTGAGAATATTTTGTATAGCCTCTGCACTCTTGAGCTGAGCGGTGTCCTTTCGGAGGTCCCCAGTTGTAAGAAGTTGGGGCTTTCTAACAGATGCGTAGTTGTAGCATCAAAGGCAACAATTGATATAGATGCATGGGTAGGTTTGGAAATGGTAAGAGTTAGCTGTGGAGAGTAATCTATGGAGAGGGGGGGGATGTTTTTTAGTAGACTTCGAGAAAAATTAGTCATAAAGAAGAGCAATAGAAGAAATTTTCTTAAAGGCGGGTTTTGGTTTTTTAAATGGAGCATTGCTAATACTCTTCCTCATAAGTGTAATATCTTATGTTCTGAAACACAGATAATTAAGAGATTTTTTTATTTTTAATTTTAATTTAATTGCTATATATAAGCACTAAAATGTCTAATGAACCTTAGGTAAGTTAGGAGGTGGTCTGGGAAGTGAATTTCAATTCATAAAATTATCACTAGAAGCATCGCGATGTCAAGTGGGTAGCGCTTTAGTGTTAAGCTCTCTAATGGGGAAAGGAAAATGATTGGTGTTATGGCACTGTGTGGCACTACCAAGCTCTCCAATGGTAAGATTTTGGGAGAATCTTGGAGCGTTGAGGCGTGAGCTGGTTAGTATTGTGACGCTAGGCCAGATTAGTGGTTTTTATATATTAGAAATACCTTAAATCATTTGCCATTAAGAGGAGGAGAGGAGAGAGAAAGAAAGATAGGTTTTAATGACCTGACCAAAGTTTGTGTTTTGTCTATCATGCCAATTACAAACTTCGTAGAGTATATGATAGACTTTTGAACTCCCATCTTTAATTTTAATTCTAGTAGTTTTATAAAAAAAATTTGAGTGGTAATATAATTTCTCAGATTTTATAATATTTTCACTGCATAACTTTTAATATATTATTGTATGCTTTATCATGAATATTTTGTGTATATATATATATATATATATATATGAAATTAGATTTTTATAGGTTGATTCTTCTTATGTAAATTTACTTTTCTAGAAATTGTAATAGTTATATAAAAATCTTAAAATGTTCATATAAATATCCCTATGAAGTTGGAATTTAAAGAGGATAAGTTCATTAAGTAAGATGTTATATATGTAATGCAATTTTTTATAGGTAATTCATGCATTATTTATATACTGCACTAAATTTATAATTTAGTTACTATTGCATTTGTATTTAGTTTATTCATGGCATGGTGTTGGAGATATTCTGATATATGAAAAAGTACAATTTTTTATATGTATAAGAGTCTTATATGTTCTGATATGACTCCATCTATCTAGTGTGGATGTGAAAGGGATTCTAGACCCAGTTGTTAAAAGTGGGTATGGTAGGTTATATGGTATTATTTTGTTCTGATTCTGACCCCACTTACTAGATGATAGTGTGAGAGGTTAAAGGGAGGCATAAGTGAAAGTGAAGTTATAGATAGACATCGGGATATATGCATTACAATTATTGTATTACATATGTTAATAGTTAATAAATCAAGAATAAATAATGCACTAAATGTTAGTAGTTCGAACTTTCTATATGAATCTAATGAAATGTGAAAGTCAAGTTCAAGTGATCCTCTAGTAGTGAGTGTTTTGTGATAGCAAGTGTTATGTGATGCATCCAAATTCTTTGTGAAAATAGCTTCAAAGATATAAGTAAAAACTTTGAAATCAAGCAAAAACTGAAACCCTGAAAAATCATATTTTATTAATACTTCATTAATTCTTCACAAGTCATTATAGTTATTTTAATTAATTAATTATTATACATTTGTTTTGATGAAATGAGATAATTGAGTTATTTTTAATATTTGAATTTTATAGTAGTTCTAGTTATCTCTATTTTTGGTTGAATTATAATTATAAGTTTAGGATTTTTAATCTTTCCATCATATCTTATGGCATCATAAGGAGGGGGAGTGGAGTGGAGCACAATTTTGAGGACCAGGGGAAATTTCTTGATAGAAAGAAGCTCATGTAGTACAATGATGTAGCACATCATGTGGATGAAGATAATCAAGCTACAAGGATGTAGCACATCATGTGGATGAAGATAATCAAGCTACAAGCCTAACTACAAGAGCTAAAACTAAAGCCCATGAAAATATTAAAGAAAGAGCCCAATTACAAGAGCCTAATAAAGAGCTCATAGTTTTAAATATTTTAAATATAAATTATATTTTATTTTTTTATCTAGAAGCTTATATGGATAGTCATGATATGGATGAGGTATTAAAAATAGGTTGTTGGAACACTTTCTCATTAATGGCAACATACCACCTTTTTTCCCTCAAAAAAATGGTTGCATAAGAGTTTTACAATGCTTATAAATATAGGATAAAATGCTTTATAATTTTAAATTTTAGAATGAAATAATTTGTGAGAAGTGTTCTTTATTTACTTTGTGCTTGTTGGCTTCAAGTGTATACCTTCTCTTTGGTGAGATTAGGAGTTTAGTCATATTGCTTTTTATATTAATCGTTAATCTTCTTTAACATTTGCTCTAAACTCTTCATAAATCTTCTTCCACTTCACAAGCATCCTTTAAGACTGATAAACAAGCAACCAAAACCTTAAACCCATTCTAAGCACTTTCATATAGCTATTGGCCTAACTAGGGAACACTTAGACTAGCTTTTTTCATTATACCTCGACATCCTCTTAAAATCTACCAAACTCAACTATCAACTCCATATCATGATTTCACAAACTAAGCTAGAATTCCATCTTCATTTACTTAGATGAAACCTAGGATGCGGACGCAATTGCGAATCGAGCCGCTCGATGAGCTTTTTCAGTGGAACGAGCTGAGCTCAAGCTAGCCTTCTAAGCTCGAATCGAGTTCGAGCTCAGAATCTGACTCACAAGTTGAGCTCGAGTTGGGCCTGACTCGAGCTCGCCTCTACTAATTTAAAATCACACCGATCGAAATCCTTTTTTAATTATTTTATTTATATTTCAGATTTTCTTTTGCTGTCTTTTTTTGGGACATTTAGGCCATTTAAGGCAAACTCACACACACAACGCATACACATGGACTCGAACCTTGGACCTTTTAGTTGGAAGCCTAAGCTCTCAATCAATAGGCCAAGCAGAGTTGTGTTCTTTTGCTTCTCAAGAGATTGCATTTGCAAGTGCTTTGTTTTATAGTTCTATATAACGTCGATCGACTGTTGTCTTCCGCTGCCAACCGGCTTCCTCGCCTCAGAAACCCTAAACCCTACCGCTGCCCATAAACTTCGGCACCCAGGGTTCTTTACGAGTGAGATTTCAAAAATATTATTTGTAAGAACAAGAAGCTTTGGTTGGCAACGGCAGAGCTCGTCAGCGGCATGGACGACTACCGCCTGAAGCCACCGCTATTTTGGTCGGTGGTGCATGATCGCGTTCCCGACAAGAAACCGTCATCCCCTAGGTTCTTGGAGCCCGCTCGTGCGAACCCATGGACTCATCTCCGAGCGCGAGTCGGACACCTTAGAAAGTAAAATTATTGAAACTGGGAGGGCCGCCATCGACGGCTGAGTCGAAGGCATCGTCTCATTCGCCTCGAGGGGCGCGGTAGATTCGTATTGATTTCTTTCATAAATTTTTTTTTCACAATTAGTCTTCTGTTTTTTTAAGCTCACCAAAATTCTTCCCGATGCTAGTTGCATTGTTTGAATGAAAAAAGATGCAGTTTTGGCTGTTCATTTCCGTAGTTATGCAGGAAAATCTTATTTTTGTTGAACTCTATCTTGCATTTTAATAATCTAGCCAGAGAAGTGTTGGGCCGGACTTTGTTTGTTAGGGATGACATGCGAAGAGTGCTGCTCTAATTTTTTCTAGTCATCGTAGTATCGTACTCTATTGGTTTCATAAACTCTTGGATAACAGCCTTTTAATGCACAAAAAGAGCTTTATAAGCTATCCTTCATTGTTTATTAGCATTTTATGCTTTTTGGCAGTTTCATTCCTTTCCTTTTATGCAAGCAGTCTCCTTCTGGTACCCGGATTATCAAAGTTGCTTGTTTTGCTTCATTAGCTGATCTTCTCACAAGGTTTGTTGACCGTGTTGTGCTCCTCAATTCTCATAATTGATGCCACTATTTTTTAAACTGGCAATTAAACTAGTGAAATTCTTTTAAAACTTTTGCTTTGTTTATAAATTACGATGGGACCTGTGAAAAAGAGTAGCTTGGGTACAAGCAGTTATGAAGCCAGAGTTTAAGCAAAGTCTAGTTTCCAGAGTGTTAACTGAATTTTAATACGTTTAAGGCATACATGCGTTATGATTTTATAAGCAATTCAAAGGGGAGAACTCAGCCTGAGTAGCTTGTGTTCAGCACATTGTTCTCTGGATTGCCGATAACAAGTTAGAACTTTTCCCATCTTCTTCGGTTAGCAACTTTAGAGCCCTCGTCAAACCTCTTCTTATAGTGAGAGTTTTATACTTTTGTTGATAGAATCCACAGGCCATGTCAAGTTAATTATCATAGAAATGTGCCCAATTGAGGTATTGTTTTAGTATTATGCGTCGACCTGTGATGGTAACGACATGCATGATACCATTTTTCTAAAAGGTCAAAATTTAGAGAGATGCCAATCAGATGGGTCATATAACTTGATTTATCATGTTAGCAAAACCATTGGACAAATGTTAGAAGATTCATCTTACACAAACTAGAATATATTTCATGTAAACTAGAGTAACATTAGCGGCCTTTTGTTTTCCCAAATCTGGTTAGATCGGAAAGTACTTATAAACTTATAAGGTTAAATTGAATGCACCAGTTGTTTAGCTAACAGGGGAATAAAATGTTCTATTGGAGAATCTTCTATTGTAAAAACAAACTGTACCTAGATTCAACTATTGTTTTAACTTGAAGCAACTTGCAGCAATTTAATGTACCAGTTGTTTAGCTAACGGGGGAATAAAATGTTCTATTGGAGAATCTTCTATTGTAAAGACAAACTGTACCTAGATTCAACTATTGTCTTATCTTTCTCCTATGCTTGTGGTGGCTGGAGGTTTGAACTGCAAGATGAGTCTTTTCTCTTATGCAAGAAGGAAGAAGAAAGTTTTATGAGGTGGTTTTCAAATTTTGGGTGATCCAAAGGGCTGTAATTATTGTTTCATTTATTTATTGTTTGCTGTTTTTTTTTTCTTCTGTTTTTATGTCTGTAATCACTTGTATTTTTATTGTTACCATTTAATACAAGGATTAAGACTTTGACTGCCTCATGGATATATAGTTCTCTAAACTAGAACCATGTAAATCATACATATTTGTTGTCTTTTTTAATGTTCAATTATATATTTGTTTAGTTTTATTTATTGATACCCAAATCAAAATTATCAGCAATAATTACGATCAAGAGAAGCAGAATATTCAGAAGACTTGTTTCAGTTCCATCATTATTGTGTCTTGTAGATTATGTGTGGAGCAAGGTTTCTCATGTAAAGACATTTGTTGAATTGTCGAAAAAAATTGAAGAGTTGTACAAATATAAAACTCTTCCAAACTGCATCTATAGGAAGGAGAATTCTTTGGTTGCAAAATGGAAGAAAGCAAAACCATTGATTATAACTTGGATGAGTTTAATTAGCTAATCTTGAAAATCTTGAAGTAAATATTGAAGATGAAGACAATGCTATCTTCTAGCTCAACTTACCTAAATGTTTCAAGAATTTTAAAACAATTCTTAAGTTTGAAAGAGAAATAATTACTGTGGATGAAATTCTAAATGCCCTTTCATCTATGATATTGGATACGGTCTTAGATAGAAACAATCTAGTTGAAGGTCTGCATATCCATGGAAGATCTCATGAGAATGAAAATAGAAAAAAAAGGAATGTCTTATAGCATATTTCAATCACATCAAAGGAGGATTATAAAAATATCAAGTGTTGGCTATGCAATAAAAATGGTCACATCCGAAGACTTTATTTAGAAAACGCATCAATAGATAAGGCTCAATCTCATAGAAATTTTGTGATTGTTTGGCAACAATTACGATAATGTTGATATCCTTATTGTAAGAAGTCAGGAAAACTCTTTTGTGGATTATTGATTTTGGTTGTACATATTATATGAGTTCCAAAAGAGAGTGGTTTATGAATCATTAAAATCTTGATGATGGGAAAGTTTTGATGGGTGAGAAAAAGCCTTGCGATGATTTTGGAATTAGATCTGTTGTAATCAAGATGAATATAGAGTGAGAATTCTTAAAGATGTAAGGCATATACACGATTTAAAGAGAAACTTTATTTCTTTTTGGACTTCAGATGATTCAGTATATGTTTTCTAATCTGAAAATGACTTGCTAAAGATTTTCGAAGGTGCTCTTGTTATCATGAAGGAATCTAAACAAAATGGACTCTGTGTTCTACAGGGAGCTACTATAGTTGGTGGATCTAATGTGTTAGCTTGATCAATTTTTGACAAAACAAATGCTTTGGCTTCAACTTTTATGGCACTTTGACAAAACAAAAGCTTTAGCTTCAGCTTCAACTGCCATAAAAGTTAAAGCTAAAGCTTTAACTTTTATGGCACTTGAGTGACGGAGCTTTGTTTGAGCTGCATAAACAAGAACTATTTAGTGCCAATTCTATTACAGAGATTGATTTTTTGTAAATCATGCATTATTGGCAAGTCACACAGGCTTGGATTCAAACTGTCAACATAGAGAACAAATAGAATCTTGACTTCATTCATTCTGGCCTTTGGGGAATGGCAATGGTATACCTACTTATGTAGGTAATTATTTCTACTTTTTGTTGATGATTATTCTGGAAAATTTTGGATGAAAGGTTTTAAAAATTTATATAATGGAAATCATTAATTGAAAAACAATGATTTAAAGTTTTAATTACTAATAATGCTCTTGAAATTTGTGATGAGAATTTCAATAAATTTTCTTTGATTGTGCTATGTGTAAGCATAACAGTGTTAGCCATACCTTTCAGCAAAATGGTCTTGTTGAGGGGATGAATATAATTCTTATTGATATAGTGAGATCTATGCTTTATAGTTCAGGTTTATCTAAGTTTTTTTTTGAGTTGAGGCATTGTCTTCATCACGCTATTTAATAAATAGAACCATCTAGTGCCATACATTTTGAAACTCCTAAGGTATTATGAACTGGAAAACCAACTGGTTTGAAACATCATTAGCTTTTTGGCAGCATTGCATTCTGTCATCAAAACAAAGTAAATTTAGAACCTAGGTCTATAAATTATTATTTTATGGTTATCCTAAAGGTGTTTAGGGTTTAGATTGCGGGATAAAAACCTCCAGGTGTTAAAAGTAGTAGTTTTGTGGTTGTTTCTTTCTGTTCAATTTCTGTAATTTTTGTTCATTTTTTATTGCTATTCTACTTTGGGGTTAGATCAGTTAATTTTCTTTGTCCAAAGTTTATCATCCAACAGAACCATTTTAAACAATGTTATTATGTTCTGTCCTTCATCTGGTATGATGTTGTTTGCAACATCTTTATTTAGCAGAAATATCTATATTTGATAGATCTTTTCAAGAATATGCCTGTTTATCATCTAACTTGTTTCTCAGACTCTCTGGCTTTCCAAACCTTAAAAAAGATAGGACATTTTTTACTGGAAAAATTAACCAGCAACTTCTGCTGATGTCAAACGAGGATGTTGGAGAAACTATTTCGACCGGGTTCCTTGAACTATGTTATATTCCTTGTTCACCTTATGTTGATTATTCATACTCGTGATTTCTTTTGCTTGTTCATCCAACAATAACAACAACATCAAGTCTTTATCCCACTACGTGGGATCGGCTACATGAATCTTTTTTCTCCATTTTATCTTGTTAAAAATTAAATTCTCATTTAAATCTAAAAAAGAAAGGTCATCTAAAAAGTCTACATGAATTACTTGTGCCGAAAGTGTCTACAATAATGCATTCTTGTTGTAATATGCTTACTCTAATCCATATACTCTTCCGGCAAGTCATGAATCTAATCTCTCTTCCATTGCACGGTTTATATGTGTGTTTATGTATGTATCCATTCTTCCTGAATATACTTACCAATACTTAATGTGTGCGAACATCTATAATACCAAACTTAATATGCAACTAAAATATATTACAAATGGGGAGGGGAAAAGTAAGCACTTAAAATATTCTAATCAGTAGAAGCACTCCAAAAGTATACTCAGAAAATGTACAAACACTCAATTTCTCGACAGAGCCTTGCATTGGGTACCCACGTACCCACCCATACCCAATAGGCATGCATGGGTATGGGTACGCCCATGACCTCGTGGGTGGGTACTCAATATCAAGGGACAAACTAATTTATATTACTAATCACCATATGCATGCAGTATATTACAGTAATCCTTACTACGCAGTGCGCAACACTAAACTGCGACGCATCCACAATAAATTTTGATATGTGGCTTGAAAGTTTGCAGTCATAAAAAATGACAAAAAATCTCAATGCCGTTAATTCGTGGCAGACTGCATTCAAGAAGCATGGAATGTGGATGGGTGTGGGTGGGTATGACATCCCAAAAGTCATCATAGGTCAGTGGCGGAACCACCACTTGGTTAGGGGGGGCAATTGCCCCCCCTCAAAAAAAAACTGGTTCCGCCCCTGTCATAGGTGGGTGTGGGTGGGCAAAGCCCGTCAACACAGAGCGGGGGTACCCAACCAGGACCCTATTTAGGGCTTTGTTATATAATGAAACGTACTGAAGAAAGGTAAAGACCGGTGGAAACAAAGAGTTCCACCTGAGAAGAACAGAGCTTGGACCGAAATGTAAACAAGAAGATGAGAAAGTGAAAATATTATTCCATAACCTTCACAGTACAGACATATAACTATATATAGGTAGTTTGACAGAAGTACAACTGGCTACATAAAAACTAAGCTATACAGAAATTATTTACAGAGAAGTTTATTTCTCTAATACCCCCCCACAAACTAAAGGATCTTTAGAAACCGTTAGTTTGCTTCTAAGAAATTGAAAACGAGGTGTTGAGAGAGATTTTGTGAAAATGTCAGCTGTTTGATCAATAGTGCTTATCGGCAAAATTCTGATATTTTGTTGTTGAATGTGATCTCGAACGAAACGGTGATCTATTTCGATATGTTTCGTTCGTGCGTGAAATACTGGATTGTTAGCAAGTGCAATCGCTGAAGTATTGTCACAAAAGATATCTGTAGGTTTATCTTGCTGCACACCAAAATCCGAAAGAAGCCGTCGAAGCCAGACGACGTCCGCGGTGAGTGCCGCAAGGGAACGATACTCTGACTCGGTAGATGATCGAGCAGCAGTGGATTGCTTCTTGACTGTCCATGAGACAATTGTATCGCCAAGAAAAGAACAATAGCCAGATGTCGATTTTCTTGAAATAGGATCACCGGCCCAATCTGCATCGGAGAAGGAAGAAAGAGAGAAATTAGATTTGGATATAGGAATACCATAGTCGAGCGTACCTTTTATGTATCTCAGTAGTCTTTTCAAGAGATAAGCATGTTCTGGCATTGGTTGATGCATATGTTGAGAAATAAGATTTACACTGTAAGCAATATCTGGTCTTGTAAGACACAGATATTGAAGAGAGCCAGTCAATCTTCGGTACATCTGCGGATCTGTGAGAAGAGGATCCGGAGGAAATTCTTTCGGCATTTTAGTGCAGGTTGGATTGCAAACCGGATTGCAGCGGGATAGTTGAGCCGTCTGCAAAATAGAGTTAGCATAGGACGATTGTGATAAAAAATAGACACCATCACCCTTTTTGATATGAATTCCTAAAAAGGAATTTGCCTCGCCGAGCAGTTTCATTGAGAATCTGTTATTTAATTTTTGAATCACATTGTTGAGTGCATCGGTGTTATTACCCGTAATGAGAATATCGTCAACATATACAAGTAAATAAATTGCAATTTGATCATTGTGAAACTTAAATAAAGAGGGATCAGATAGGCTTTGAAGAAAACCGATTGAAATAAGAAACGACGTAAAAGTATTATACCATTGTCGAGGAGCCTGTTTGAGCCCGTAGATAGCTTTGTTAAGACGACATACGTAATCCGGATTTGTAGTGTCTTCGAATCCACGCGGCTGGGTCATGTAAACTGTCTCCGTTAGCGAGCCATGAAGAAACGCATTTGCTACATCCATTTGTTGGACTTGCCAATTATACTGAAGTGCCACCGCAAGAAGAATTCGTATCGTAGGTAGTTTCACAACCGGACTAAAGGT